AATAATACCATACTGTTGCCATCATTCTCCCTAGATTCTCGGGTAATCTTACCTAATGGTGTCACATAACTGTAACAGACCCCAGGGGCTGGACCGTCTCCTCCCCCACCACTGACTGCTTTGCTTCACTGTGGGATGTTGTTTGGGTGTCCCTCTTTCTTCGTTTTGGTTCCCTTCCGTCCGTCGTGGTCATCTCGTGGTGGCTTCGTCATCATCGTCTTCATCGCCTCTTTCATAATCTTCCGAACCCTTGAATCCGTCGAATCTCCTGCCTCTATCTCTCGGTCTGTTGCTTTCCAAATCCCCTCAAACTACGCCCCTTGTCTCTCCCCCATTCCGATCGGTGACGAGAGACGGGACCTCCGGCCTTTCCCACGCTACCTAGCCTCCCTTCCTTAGGTACACTAGACTCTCTTCAGCCATTGTTCCTTGACGTGGGCGGCTACCATTGGATCTCGTCTCTTCCCTCCCCTGACTGGACGATCGTGGACGGGTGCGCTACCGGCTTGTACCTTCACCTCTATTGATCGAATTTCAACGTCCTCCGTTTGCCTTTTTCCCTTTCAACCTAACTCCCTTTCCACACCGGCTTAGATTATTGCTACTGCGAAGACTGGATTCCTTGCGTTTCTCCTGCACTTTGTTCACCTGCTACTGGCGAGCTCTGCCTTGGCGAGATCAGTCCACCATCACTCAACAACCGACACGCGATCCTTGGCCGACAGCGCCAAACTGTCATGACAACTCGTCGTGGGCTTCTAACCAACACCGCCATATCCTAAACAAGCATAGAGCTTGTTCTAGACGTTCCATCCAAGCTGTCTTCTGATCAATTTATGTGCCTACGACTTGCTCCGTGCAATCATTCGTCTACCTGACCTGCCGGGTCTATCGCATACAGTAACTATTTTGACCTCTCTGCGTTCACTCCTCTTCTCGGTACATCCTCCGTCAGCATGTGGTCTTCGTCTATTCGTCGTTTGATTTCATCTACCGTGTAACGTGTCTTTTTTTTTTTTTTTTTTTTCCTTCTGTACGGCAGGCGGTCGCCATTATTCGATCCCAATTCACTTTCCCGAGTGTCCGAACCCAACTGCGTTTATCCGCTTGGTCAACATTACCTGGATTTCGTTCAGACATCCCACGGGCTTTTTCCCCTTTTTTTTTTCTACCTATTTTTTTGCTCCCCCCTGGCTTAGCGGTACCCTCTCGGGTCTCCTGACTTGTCAATACCGTGTCAGCAAATTTCTGACTCGACAGAAACCATGGCAGCGGAGTCCGAGAGGTCGCCCTACCCCAATGGTTCCTCTGGTGGATCCAGCGTGGCCCAAGAAGATGAGGCTGCCTCATTTGCATCCCGGCGGTCTGCGAGTGAAAGTGACATGGTGGAAATGCCACGTTCCGCATTTAAATCTCAAACACAGGCGTCGCTTCTTGCCCAGCTACCGAAACTATCGTCTGCAGTTCCCGGCATTTCGGCCCCTCCCTCTGCCACGAATTCCGCCCTATCTTCGCGCGAATCCTCCCCCGTTCGTTCCTCCCGTCGTGCACGCAACCCGACGTCGGCGCCTCGCAGTTCCAGATCACGCCGGAACAGTCAGAATCGCAGTCCGCAACGGTCCATACCGGTTCCTACCGCGACTGCTGTGCAAAGAGCGCTCTCCCAGCCCAGCAAGCCTCTTGTGCTGAGCGCCTCCCCGAATGTCGAACCATCCTCCAATGTTCCCAGCCCAGAAAAATCTAGCAACATGCCGTTATGGGGCTCTACCCCCCCGAATACCTCGAGCAAGCGATCCTTGCCGCCGTCCGACGACCTTGCCGCCAGAGGAGATCGGAGTGCGCCTCGCAACGTGAGCAGCCGCATCAATGCGCCGGGGTCTGCCCTCGAAACCGTGGAGGAGATGACCAGCGATCCCTCGACACCATCGGCCGATACTATTCTAAACCAGCCTCTGCCGGAGGACCCCAAGCTGCAAAAGATCGATGAAGACACGACCCCAAAGGCCTCCAGGCATAATAACAATGTCGAGAGTGGAAGTGACAGTGGCGGAAACAAAAGCTCAGAGCGCATGGAAGACACTCGTCGTTGGGTATCCACTGGTACTAGAGGGTCCGAGTCCCTCATGTCAAAGCGCTCCACCACCTCGTTGAGCGGCGCTCGCGGGAAACCGGCAGAAGGGTCCGTCCACAACATGATTGTCGAGACCGAGACGGTGACCTCCATTCCTCAGGTCTCTCTTGGCGTGGTACCGGGCGAACGAGGCAGTTCAGGCCGGGTAGACAGCGGCACTTTGCGGATGAAGCCGAGTACGGAGACCATTCGTCCGAGAAAGGAAAAGCGGAAAACTCGCAAACCTGCTGCCCTCACCAGCGGCGCCGCATCTTCCAAAGCTGATATCTTTGAAGCGAAAGTGGCCAGCGCGGTCGATGAGGCCGACGTCTCCGACTCTGATGAAACGTTTGTCTACGAGTCCAATCCTCCAGACCCATATCCAGTCCGGCAGAACCGGTATCATTCCCGTACACCCAGTGCAACGTCTATGGCGAGCCAAGTCGACCAGCTGGCAGGGAGGGCGCGACATAGCATGAGAGACTCAACGCATAGCATTACCGGTAAACGCAGCATGAAATTCACAAATAATACATACAACAGCAGTGTGGACGGGGATGCTGGGGACGAAAGCGGCCGTCCTTCCAGGGTAGATAACGGCACACACACTCCCCGGCACCACCATATCGGGCGGTATGGACGCAACAGCAACGTATATCCGTCACTGTTTGACAACGACTCGCCGTTCCCGCAGTCCCAGGCACATGCCAAATCGCCGCGCCATTTCATTGGCAGTGGACTTCGACAGTCAAGGCATGCGAACTCGCGAACACTTCCGAATTATCGCACGATCAATGGGTCAAAGCAGACGGGCGACATGTATCCTTACGATTTTGATGCCGAAGGTGCGGATGATGAGCGCACGCCTCTGGTCGGGTCGACACGTGTGTCACGAAGCCGGCATGGCGGTCGACGCCCCGGCAGTGCCAGTTTGCGTCAAATGGAGTATATGCAACAACGGCAACGCGGTTATTTTTCCCGCTACGGTGTTTGTCTCATAATTGGCCTCTTGCTGTTTTTGGTCATTGGAGGCGCCACCTCGTTCATTGTCGGGATAACAAAGCCGCTGATGGACGTGCAAGTCCTTGCCATCCAGAACGTGCTCGCTTCGGAGCAGGAGATTATGTTGGACCTCAGTGTTCAGGCCGTGAATCCCAATCTTTTTCCCGTGGCTGTCGATGATATGGACGTGAACATCTTCGCCAGAAGCCGATTTGTGGGAACGGACAAGCTCTGGCGCGATCACGGCTCAGATCAGGATGACTTTCCTCGCACCGAACGAAGCAGGAAGCGAGCGGAGATGGCTCAACTTGCTCGCTGTGGCAGGGATACCGAATGCACGCGGGGTGTTCTTGCCAGAGATTCCCTTAATGGAGGCGTCGACAAGGGTACTGATCCCATACCAACCGACCCTGCTGGTGATCCTCAGACCATGCTGCTAGGCCGCGTTTTCCACTTCGATTCTCCCCTCGCGTTCGAGCCGTCTCCATGGAATCACGTACCCACTACTTCCAAAGGCCAGATCCGCCTCGCTCGACCCGGAAACAGAACCGAGGAAGGCGGCACGGAGCGGTGGGAGCGGGTGCTTCAGCATCCTTTTGAGCTGATTGTTCGCGGAGTCATTAAGTATCAGCTGCCCTTGAGCTCTAGGTTCTACTCGTCGCCCGTGAGCTCTAGCGTAAAGGTGGTACCCAATGATGACAACGATGATACGCCCGACCCTGGTTCCGGAAAGAATGACACGGCTTCAATATCCACATCAAGGTTATACCGTCGCAGCTTATCTGATCGCAGTTTGAAATACTCAGGCAGCTGGTCCTCGGGAGGAGTCAGAAAGACACTTGAACTAGTGGCGCGGGCCTTCACAGCCTGATAATAGTTCAGGGTCGGACGGGATGCCAGCGATCATGAGCTTCGTCCTCCTCGGTGATTATCCACAAATCGGATGCAGGTCTCATTCTTTATTCTGTATAATTTCATTGGTGTGAGCTCTGGCTAGTTGTCCTCGGCCTATTTTCAGTTGTATAATCCTTGAATTTGGACCAGGAAACGGCCGCAGACGTGTCAAGTTGGCTGTGTAAAGACATGCCTTTTTAGCTTCTCCATGGACGGTGATATCCCTCTTTCCTCATTTGGATCTCCTCCCTGAATCAGGGACCGTGAGTCCTGACTTTTGGATCCGTTTGATGTCACTCCTTTTGGGATATACCCTTTTCTTTCCTTTGTCGAACAGTTTCCCTCATCCTCATTTTGACCTGACAGGACCCTTTTTTTGGTCTGTTGGTTCACCTTCACGTGTGATGACTTTGATATATTCACCTTATGAAACGACAGCAATACGGAAAAGAGCGAAGAGCATGGATTTTTCTTCATATTGTCTTTATTTTCGATTGTGAGAACAGAAACATCGATTATGGGATGCATCAGCGCGGCGCTTCGATATGACTTTTGGCTTGATTCCTCGGCACATTGCGTCCAACAGGGAGATTGTTTGATTGGAAAAGATAGGTTTAGTTTTTAAAACTTGCTCGGTGGATGGTCTTTTTTTCTCTTTCTCTTCTCCGTTTTTCCTCGCTCTCGGAAGCGACCATGTCCATGTGTGTATATGTATGTACATAATCCTTATCAATATCAACTCGGTACATATATCTCTGGGTTTATTTTGACGGTTATTGTTTGGTTTGGCATTCTATGTAAACCTCATCATAACATCAAGCATAAGCAGGGTCATTAGGGCATCTCAATATCGTATCAGGTCATAACAGGGCAAAATCATCAGGTATTACAAATCACAGAAACAACATCAGAAAGCCACCCAACAGCAACAGAAACAGAAAAGCATAAGCAAGGAGGACAGGGAAAAGACAGGAAACCAAGGATACAAAAACTCCTAGACAAACACCCTATTGATTCCACGAAGCAATTGCTCGAACCGATCTACCAGCGGGTCATCGTCCCGCTCTGGAAGCAGTCGGCCCTGTGAATCGAACCGGTCAGGCAGGTCGATGGTGGAGTCGGAATCCGTCTCCTGCGGATTGGAAGTACCATTGTCTTTGAAGGGACGGGGACGATCGCCCTTGGCTGGGGCCGAGCTGGGTGGAAATTTGGATTTTCGGGGAGGAAAGTAGGGATCGGAGGAAGAATGGCGGCGCCGATGGGCAAAGGAGGTAGTGGAGGAACGATGACGATCGCGATGATGATGAGCAGTCAAAGAGTCGATGGTTGAGTCGCTATCGTCCGTTTCATAACCAGGGTCGATGGGGCGCTCCTCCGCATCGAGGTCAAAGGCAACAGACTTGGGATGAGGGGGTTGACTGGCTGCGCGTGCGCGATCTCTGGGGGTATGTGGACGCGGCGTTCTCAACGGTGACGGAGGTGTATCTACACCTGAGCGGTCTCGATTAGCGACAAGTTTCATGAATGTCAGAGATTTAATTTGTCCCTAGACCCACCATCATGCATGGGATACTGGGCAGTAGAAGGGGGAGAGTTCCATGCAGCACTCACATTCTCATCCGCCCTCCGGGGCCGGGGTGCGTAGCGGTCCGGTCCTGGCTCGGGGGGATAGCCGTAAGATTGAGCTGGAGGGACGGCACCTGGTGGAGGGGGGTAATCGGCCGGATTATATGGGGCGGGGGGAGCGGCGGGGGCCGGTGTAGAGCCGGGAGGTGGAGGGAAGTAGTTGGAGTTGGGATAGTGCTGATTCTCGACAGGGTGTGTCGGCGGTAGGGGCGACGGTGGGTATGGAAGGTCTGAAGGGTACGATGAAGGGTACGAGTCATCGTCGTACTCTAGAAGGTGCGTCCGTCAGTCTCCCGAATCAGCAGATCGTCTGTGTATTTGTTGAGCTAAACTTACTCGACCGTTCTTTCTCTTCCTTCTTGCGATCCCTGCTCTGCTTGTATTTGTGAGCGGCATAGCCGACTCCAGTGGCTGCCAAAGCAGCTTCGGCCAAGTCACGAGAACGGCTTCGGTGCTTGCGATGACGGCTGCTTCTTCGTCGTCGATGACCGTCTCTGTCGGTATCAGAGGAGCTGGTGCTATACCTACCGCCTCGGCTGCGACTGCGGCTCCGACTGCGACCACGGAATCCTGCTGCGTCCCTGGCTACTCGGTCAGAAGCATCCGAGTAGTAACCCTGCTGGCTGGCTGGCCGGCCGTAGTAATGGGCTGCAGGGATACTTCCGGTAACCGGATGTTCGCCGTACTCGATCAGACCAGCCGAATCGCGGGCGGGATCTGGGTAGGCCTCGGACGGGGCCCTGCTTCGAGATCTGGAACGACGTCGCTCCCTCCGCTTCCCCTCCTCTTCCTTCTTCTCCTTGTTCTTTTCGTACAGGCCAGTGACGGCTGCGGTTCCCAGCCCGGCCGCAACCACAGGGAGCGCCTGTCTGAGTCGGCTGTGGGATCGGGATCCTTTTCGAGAGCGCGACCGGCTGCGAGCTCTCTCTACCAGACCGGCCACTGCGGCACCAGCCAAGCCAGCTTCTGCCATATGTTTTCGAATCCGAGACTGGCTGCGTTTCTCATTCTCGGCATCTTTTCCGGGTCCAATGACACTGGAGGACCGGCGGTGCCGGGAGCGGCTTCGTTTGTCGCTAGTCGACTTCTTGCGAGCCAGAGCCATAGCACCGGCAATGGCAGCGGCACCAAGGCCAATCTCCGTCAAGGTCTTGGCACGGGAATGAGAGTGCGAGCGGCTGCGACTGCGGCTGCGACGGCTGTGGCGGCTATGGCTATGGCTATGGCTATGGTGATGATGGTGATGGTGACGGGAGCTGCGATCGTCATCATATGAGTGGGAGCGGTGACGGCTCTTGCTGCGGTAGTAATCGCGGGCACGCGAAGCAGCACTCACGGCAACAGCGCCCAAGGCGCCGGCACCCACGTCGTGGCCCAGACGGCTGAGGCCCGAAGACACACCTTCACCTTCCTTCTTTCGATGATTGCGGATCAGTTCTGCAGCGCCGATGCCGACCAAAGCACCCTCCGCGAGATGGCGTCGATGATGGGGGTGGTCGTCGTATTCGCGAGTCTCTTTACGAATATAGACCATGCTATCATCACTGCTGTAGTCTTGGTCGTCCCGACGACGACTGGTCTGAGAGATGGAGTCTCCAGGGCTGAGCTCGCGACGAAGGCGACGGTCGTCGTCATATTCGCGGACCCGACGATGATAGTAGTAAGCCGGTTCCCGCTCTACCTCGGACCGCTGGACAACCTCATAGTCGGATTCACGGGGGTGAACAATGAGGGGACCTCGCGCTACATAAGTGTCAGATTTACTCGGCCGGAATTCATACATTGGTACTCACCATCATAGTAGTCTCTTTCGGAGCGGTAGTCGTACGGGCGCGAGTCATAGTCGATCTCTCGCTGGTAACGTTGCACCATGACGGGTTCTTCTCGCTCAGTAGAGCGGCGGACTACCAATTCTCGATCACCAGTGACAGGGTCTTCGTGACGGTAGACAAATTCGCGCTCTCGATCCTCCTCTGAAGGGATGACGTAACGCTTGATTGACACGGTGGAGGAACGAGGCTCGTCCCACTCGCGATCTCGCTCGCGTTCTCTGTATATGTAAGATGACATGAGGATGAAATTCGTTCACGGCGACAAGGGAAATAGGAGTACGAGTATATGGAGATAGAAGATTAGAGCAAAGAGGCAAGTCGATTAATAAACGAAGGGAACGAAAAGAGGAATAGAAGTGCCTGGAAGAGGGAGGGGCAAAGGAAAGTGGGGAAAAATCAGTGCTGGCGATCAATCAGGCTGAGAGACAAGGCTGACGGAAGACACGGGCTGTCGGGCGTCGAGTCAAGTGCCAGAAAGTCAAGAGGCGCAAGGATAAGGAATGACAGTGTATTCGATGATGAAAAGAATAAAGATTCAGATTCAATGTATGACGGTAGCAGGGGAATGAGGGATGCTAAGTGCCAGTATGGGTAGGGTGGCTACAAAGAGGGGTTTCTTAATGGGTATGACTGAAAGAAGCGGGGGCTGATGCACAACAGGGATTGAAAAAGTAGATGGAAAATAAAATGTGAGACAAGGAGGCGATGTGATGATGCAGGTGGTAGAGCTGATGAAATGGATGATATGAAGATGATATTGAAGGGAAGAGTGAAAGAAAGAAAGACAGATCCAAGTGCGATCAGAGGTACATACAGTGGCGTCTAGTACCTACCTTAGTAGTGCTGCAACTTGTCTGCAAGTGATGAGGTCCCGAGACGAGACAAGGCGATGTGACTCGCCGACTGACAAGCACAGTCGACCTTACGCTGTCAACCCTGAGAATCAACCCTTCTCAAAAACAAAAGGGCAGTAATTGTCAATAGAACAATAGAGAGTATGCGATAGCTGTCTCAAAGGTTTCCCTAAGAACGGCTCCGTATTTATATATTGTCCTGAAGATAGAGAAGTCCCACTAATCATGACTTCATCACTGACAAAGACAGTGGCTGAGGATTGCGCCCGAGTGATCCGCCTGCTCCTTGGCCATTTAACATCCTTCATCTTGAATGTCGAGGCTCGTATTGGGCACTGTGCTGCCGCCGTCTATGATGATCACCAGGCTCCTTTAAGCCTCATTCATTGTGTTTCATTCATGGTGTTTCGATACATTGAGTGTCTGGGACCGGTGGAGTAGAAAACTCGGGTCTGATCCATGGGTGCCATACTGCTGGTACCTGACCCTGCGTGAGGTTACCACAGCTCCGTTGCAACCAAACCATGGATCTTGATGTACTCAGAAATGACAATATTACTACTCCGTAGCAGGTCCTTCAATATCAACCGGACGTTCACAGTTTCTCTGACAATGACTTCCCAACTGCCAGTAATGAGATGACTGTCGCTGTCTTCCTCTTTCTCTCTGTCATCCATCCCAACTATACATCCTTTTGTCATCTTCACTATCCTCCCTGACCCTCCTGATTCACTCTTTCATTAGTTTCTCATTGAGATAATCAAATTGTCAATCAGAGTAGCCATTACGACTATTATCCCCTATAGTATTTCCCAGTTGAGTAGCGATGGTTTTGCCGACCACACCATCCAATGCTTAAGCGTTTTGCCCATCAATTGCTTTTAGCAACTTTGACGACCAGCATAATTCTGTTTAGAACTTGTAGGAGGTGTCTGACCATATTCAAGTCTGAAACAACACACAAGTGGATGTGTCGGTGGTCTACATTCCACAGAGTACATCTACCTCTGGCCTCGGTATCATATATCGTCCTCTACCATGATCGTGTTCTTCTCTCCTTCAAGGCTCTCGGTTTCCTCCACAACAATGCATTTCGTAATGATCAAACAAATGATACCGTCGTGGCCTACCAATCAGACACCCAGTCTTGGTAGATTTCCCGGGCATTCTATTTCTTCGATTGGCAGTCTTCTAGAAGCCATCCTCATGGCGGGGTACTCCGCCGCGTGCATTCCTTGGCGAGCGACTTTTTCTTCGAGATCCTAGGCCTGACTGCCTGAGCCACCACCACTTCCCCATAGGGTTCCAAGTACATAGTTGCGCCAGTGTTATTCCACGCGGCTCAGCAAAATCATAGCAGCCTCGTCCACTTACAGGCATAGCAAATTGATTGCAGTTGCTGACAATGCCATCAAAGTTAATCCCCGCGCCTGGCAGTCTCGTTTGTTCAACTTGCCCCATGTGCTAGTGGCTATGCTTGTAAGTGTAAGTCCTGTCCACAAGTACCTGCCCCAAGACTAGTAGGCCTCAAAACATATCTAGCCATCATAAAGTTCCTCCACCTGCGTGACATCTTCAACAAATGTACGGAGTAGCACTATACGCTCTCATCATCTGTATCTTCTCCTGCATATTCATTACTAAATGCATTCTCCTAAAATCCCTTGGCAGTTGTTCGGCACTCACAAACCTCAACACCCATACACCCACTTCATCTGTCAGCTAACTAAACACTACCATCTTTTCTTCTTTCACCGTCATCTCCCTCATGCCAATCTGCGCCTCAACCCAATCCTCCCTACTCGGCCACTATATCGTACTAGTCCGTCGCAGGAGATTACAGAATCTGTCTTCTTTGTCGGCACTGGGTGAGCGCTTGATATATAAGAGCGGGGAAGTAATAGGAAAAGCATATTAATAAGGTCAGCGTCTTTTCTGAGAACCCCGCTAGTTAAGGGGTAGTTGTAGACAACACATCCCTAAGTGCTGAAGACGGTCTGTTCAGTCATTGATAGAGGAGGGTTTGTAGGGCATGAGCCGTCCTGTCAGTCGTCCATTACTGTTTGTTGATGGAAAATAGGGGAAATGGTCCACGTTGATGGGAAGTAGGTGGCCAATGGTTTGTTGGCAGAGAGTCAATAGAAAGGTAGAAATGATGGTGACGAGCATGCTGCTAAACCTCATGCTACAAAAAGGCTACTGTCAACCAGAATAAGCCTATCATTTCTACTATGCTAGAAATGGTTGTCTAGACATCTTTTTGGCGTAGTGGTTTGATGGCTGACAGCTACAAACAGGAGAAGGCCAATGTTGTGTATCACGTGACTTGACCTCAGAAGCTCATGAGCGCGCTCTCAGGGCCATGCTGATTACTGTCTCAATATGTAGGAACTGGGAGAAGCTCCCTTCAACTGATTGGGCAGGAACCTTGACATACAAAATCCGTGGTACCAACACTACATGATGAACTCAAGATCCGCAACGGTGCGACTGACTACCATTCTTCCCTTCCGTATCTGCTGGATAGCAAGAGACAGCCTGAACTCAGCAGCCCAGGCAGGCGACCTGTCTTGAAAGAGGGCATTGAGACGACTTTGACGCATGACTACGTGTTTAGTGAAGCCGACGAAACCTTATGTATTTTAATATGCCCCCAGCTGGGTGCGGTTCTAAGTACTGACATGCTGCCTCCAAGATTATGAAGGAACGAATGGCGCTTTTTCGGTTGCTGCGACAGACGTGGATTCCCAGAATAGCACTGCTCTCCGCAGACGGGCAACGAGTGACTATACTACCGTGATGTCGATTGTCAAGCGTAGCGCTGCCAATACCATCGCTAAACCAAGCTGCCTTGCCCGGCCACTCAAATATCATATAGACAAGAGTTTTGAGAGAAACCGGTTTGCATGTCGTCCTATTGATAACAGGGGCAGCTGGCACGCGACTATGCATCTGATGATCAACCACGGCCAGAAGAATAATGGTGTATATGGAACTTGCTGTGATTGAAAAGGACCGAAGTCACCAAGTGATACTGAGTATTTCCTGGAAAGCGAGGGTAAAGGGGCCTATCTCGGAGCTTCGCTATACAGATAGAGTTGTCATATATGATACCAGCCCTGCTCATTCCCAGCACATACGACCATAGAGTGTGAAAACAGGGCTTCTCATCCACTCAGTCGCACTTAAGCCAGAAGAACGCATTTCTATCTCTGAGCCTCGATAAAAATGTGCTTCAACTTTGATTCAATTTCACATGCCGTAAAACCAAGGTCACCGCAGGTAATGGGATATTAGATGTCTTCTTGCTCGACAATGCTTGACAAAAGTATGAAGGGGCGGGCACTACGCTCTGCTATTCTTAATGTAATCATCATGTTATTTTGATATTCCTATTTATATGCAATATTCCGACAATCTTCCCTAACGATAGTCCAAGTTCGCTCCTTGTATGCGACATGGCTTTGCTCATTAGACCAGATTACTACATATTGCTATATTGAGTCTACGTAGTGTGGAAGACATTCAATGAGAAGCTGAACTTCATGAATCATAGCCATAATTATGAAGGCTGAGGTTGCAAAAATGGCGCAAATGCTTTTACCATTTCTTTGTTTTGGAAGCCCTAATCAAAATTACGCTAAACTACTTTTGGATTATTTTTTCCAAACCTTTGTTGCCAGCTTTTGTATTGACACGCAATAATGCATCTAACCGACCCTTCCACCTAGCTTACAGGGTCGCCCGCATGGGCGACCCCGCCACCTCAACGTAAGGAGCCATCTCAACGTTAGATTTTTCAAAATATCGACAACTTTTTGAGAATTAGTTTTATCCAACCACCACAATGCCTAGTGATTACCATATAATTGAGGCTAAGATTCAAAATGCTATTGAACACCTGCGTCAGCAAAAAAAACCCAATATTGCAAAAGCTGCGCGTGATTTTGAGGTCCCTGTATCGCGTCTGCGAGCGCGTTGGAAAGGACGTCAAACTCGAAGCCAACGAACGCCTTTAAATCGGAAGCTTGATAATGCTCAGGAGCTTGCTCTAAAGACATATATCAACACATTAGATGAGATGATTATCCCTCCGCGGCCGAAGCAAATTGTCAAATCAGTTAACGAGATCTTACACGCCGATCATACTGACCCCACGACCCCTCCACCAAAAGTTGATATGAGATGGCTAAAACGATGGCTTGATCGCAATCCAGAGTACCGAAGAAGGAAGATAAGGGCTATAGAGCTGAATCGGCAGCAGGCGCACGAGCCTGAGGTTATACAAGACTGGTATAATCGTCTAGAGCATATCATCCAGGAGAAGGGAATCGCCGTTGAAGATATATGGAATTTTGATGAGACAGGCTTCCGAATTGGTGTTGGAAAAGATCAATGGATTGTCACAAGAGAAACAACAAAGAAGCTATTCACACTAAGCAATACTAATACTGAGTATGTAACCTTAGTAGAGGCTATCTCTGCTGGAGGTGAAACCATCCCTCCATTGATTATTATGACAGGAAGGGTGATAATGGAGGGATGGTTTGATTACACTGAGAAAGGAAGCTTTGTTGGTATCTCTGAGACTGGATATATCAATGATGAACTTGCATATCGGTGGATCCAGCAATTCCATGCTGCTACAGTGAAATCTAAGAAGGGGGTCTATCGACTACTTCTCTGCGATGGATATGGCTCCCATATCACCTATGAATTTGTTAAATTCTGCGAGCAAAATCAGATCATTCTCTTCTTCCTGATTCCACATATAAGCCATATTCTTCAGCCTCTTGATGTCGCTGTGTTTAATGTCTTTAAACACTGGCATAGTGAAACTATCGCGGATGCCACCCAGTCTGGATGTGGGAAGTTTACTAAGATTGAATTCTTACATGCTCTCTCAGAGATATGACGCCGAACATTCAAGAAATCTACTATCCTAGCTGGCTTCCGGCTTACTGGGATAGTTCCATGGAATCCAGATATTGTGATTACAAGCCTACCAGAATACCAACCGTGTACGCCACCTTCGGAGGGAAGCAATGAGACTACCTGGACCTGGGGAAGCACACCAAAGACAGTATCTTGATTCAAAACTGTTGGTGATCGGATCCCTCACCTAGAAGGCTACGATCAAATGCATAATATGAAGCTATTGGTTAAGGGCGCTGTTGCGCAGGCTCATCTTGTTGCTGCTCTCTCTAAGGAGATCTATAACTCAGCTGCAGCGCAGAAGGCGCGTGAACAGCGATCTAAGGCCTCAAAACGTTGGATACAGGTAGGAGGCACTGTATCTAGCTCAGGCCTATCACGGATAAAGAAGCTAAAGAAGAAACATGATGATATGAAGGAGAGGTTAAAGCTACGGAAGATATGGCGCACAGTGATGACGGAATTGATTGATTATGCAATTGATCGCGGAATAATTATTAAGCGTTCGCGACTAGCTAGAAAGATAGAGTAGATCCTAGAGTTCCTTTTAACTATAGGAAATACATATATTTTAATGGTTTGGGGAAATAATGAAGCTTTAAACGTTGTCTTGTCAAAAAATCTAATGTTGAGATGGCTCCTTACGTTGAGGTGGCGGGGTCGCCCATGCGGGCGACCCTGTAAGCTAGGTGGAAGGGTCGGTTATTGAGTTGGCGTGTCTTAGATAACTTGTATCTTCTCATACAAGGGCACGTTTCATATGTCGATCATTTAAAATGTTCACTTAGTCAAACGTGTGTTGTTATCGGTACCGTGATATGTTTCTCGTCGAGGAACTACAGAATAAATTGCTGAGTCTCAAACTCAAGGCTATAATTTCGCCTTCCGCTAAATTCTACCACAACGACCAGCACCTGCCCACAGCATTCCATGAGCGACTTCGCCAAAGCTCTTTAAGTAAACTCATTTCTATGAAGTCACAATACTTGATTCAAGATATCAAGATTCTCACTTTAGCTTTCAGAGAACCACTAGAAAACTCTAGTTACAGAGCATAAGGTTTACAAGTGGAATGTGAAGAGCATTCATCTAATGTGTATGGAATCCTATATTAGAGAAGCGCCCGTAACATCTTAAGACCCACGGTCAGTGGGATCCGAACTAGAACCTTTCTCCACTCGTGAATGAATGGATTTATGATGCGAAGTGAGATGTGATTATCGATCCTTGATCATCTGAACCGCAAAAATCAGATATGGAAGCCCATACGAACTGTGTAACGAACGACGTCGACAGTCAGACCTTCCCGGGACACAAAGCGCTCAAAGAGTCTCTCCTTCCAACTGCTTCAATAGCTGCCCCAGATTCTGGGTCTTTTCAATTTTATCACCTAGCCGTTCCCTCCAGTCCGACTTGGCTGCGACTTTTTCCATCCAACTCGACCATTTCTGGACAGTGCCAATTGCGTCCTCCCGGGAGACACGAAACCATTCCTTATGCTTGCAAAGGCAAGCATGACAGTCTATCGTTACTTGGTGCTCTCGAAGCTGCACGTGGCACAAGGCTTCGACTAGTTTGGGATTTTTGATGGTATTGCCTGTGTTTATCGGGATAGGATAAAGTCCTATCGGCTTCCTGTTGCACATAAAGGCAATGTCTTCGAATCTTTTCTGAGCCGTGAAGCCCGTGTAACCGATCTTCACGAAGCCTGGGTTTCCCTCGACTTCATACGCATAGACATATCCCTCCGACGATCCTGACTTGGGCTTCAACGCTGTCTGGATACATTTGACAGAAATCGGACTACCTTGGTCGGCATGCATGAATGGAGATATGTCATACCCTGTGTGCCAGACGCGTCAGTGAAATGCCTTTCTAGCGAATTTAGCAGATTATTATCACCTAATTGCTCGTAGATGTCATCTTCAATGAGTTGCTTGGGATAGACAATCTTAACTGCAGCTGGGTCTGTTGAAATTGACTGGGCTAATTTGTTCAGAGGGCGGATAGCCTGAATTTGAGATGTCCAATTTTTGACGTGCGTTGGCTTTTCTTGTTCTCTATGAAGAGGGCAGAAGACGTATTGCCCTAGTGCTTCAAGGTACGCCTGAAGTCTGGTATCGTCGGAATACACATCCGGCGCGGTTATCTTTTTCAGTATCTTTTGCATAGCCTGGACGTTCCGACCTCCTAACTTACTATTGAGTGAATCATCGTCGTGCCCTTCTGAAAGACATTTCGTGCGGGCTCCAGGAAGAATATGCTTGATGCATAAGGTAACTGACCAACTTGTGTGCCTAATACCAGATTCTGTTGGGAAAGAATCCAATAAGTTTGCAAGTGTAGAGCTGATTCGATTTTGGTGTACGTTGCAAAGAGTAAGAGAGACCAGCTCATTAAATTTATTTTCCAGTTGAGGTGAACTCGTGGGAATAATCGACATAGAGCGAACTAACTCATCAAGCTCAGCCGCCTTCCTGAGCACACTGTTTTTGCAAGGCTTATCCATTGAGGTCAGAGCGCGACATCGTCCTCGGCGAATACCCAACTGGTTTTTCAATGACTCAAGACTTGAAATCCAGAGCTGGTCTGCTTTGTTCTTTTTGTTGCCCTCCAAGCCTTGTCCCTTGAGGGGACTTGCTGGAGGAGTTCTGAGCACGAGGTTGCTCTGGGCTAGTAAAGAGGGTTCTTCTTGATGCTCTTCTCGGGATTTTCTCGAGGTAGCTGGTGAAGGAGGTGGGGTAAGGCAAACACCAGGATTCGCTTCTGCGCCTGAGCACTTCTGAGCCTGGTTTAGTTCAGCATGCATGTTTTCGCTCGTTATTATGCTGTAAATGATCTAATCGGTATGTACTTCATAAAAGGTAAATTCTATCCTTCCTCAAAGCACTGCAAATCTGATAAGAATGACAGAAACCTGTCGCCGTATCTTCTTGAGGTTTACTTTAGGACGCATTCCTCTGCTGGTGCCAGCTTTTATATGTATGATTTTACCGCCAGCTGGCAAGAGCTCCGGGTCAGGCGACGCATTGCAAGGCTAAGCCCCGTGGGGTAGCTCCGTAGGCTGATTCCAGTCAGTTTGACTCGGCTTTTAGAAGTAAATCGCGCTCTGGTTGGTCACAAAGGAGTCGCTCTCAAATTGAGGTATTGTGGTTTATCTTGTTGGGAAAGTTGAAGATTATCTACAGACAATCATCCTTCACATTTCTACAGCAAGCAACATATTTAGGAGTGTCTCCTTTCCTTCTGATTCTGCCCTTGAAAGTGGTGCTTGGGCCCATGCATCCCTCCGATGTATATCCACGACTCCCGTCGCCAGTAGCATTTGAACGATGGCCTCTTCTCCTCCTTCGACCGCCAATGACAACGGCGTTCTTCCCCATCTCTCCGGTACATCGAACATTGCCCTTTCCCCCGTCGCCAGAAGCAGCTTGACCACGGCCTTGTGGCCTCTCCATACAGCCCTCAGTAGAGGTGTTTGACCAACCTGGTCTGTTGTATGTACATTCGCCTTTCCTGACGCCAGTAGCATGTGAACTATGGGTTCGCGACCCCTATCTGCTGCCCACCAGAGAGGAGTGAGTCCTCGTCTATCCCTGGAATCCACATCAATTCCGTCTGCTGCCAGCAGCAACTTGACTACTGCTGTGTGGTTCTCCTGCGCAGCCCATGCCAGAGGACCCCAGCCATCCATGTCTTTGACATTAACATCTGCGCGTTGTGTCTGCAAGAGCATCCGGACGATTATGTCGTATCCTCTGCTCGATGCTTTCCACAGGGCCGTTAGTCCGACGTTGTCCTTAGAATCCACGTCGATCTGGTCTGCCGCTAATAGTATCTCCACTATTCCGCTGTGGCCTTCATACGCAGCCCGAGAAAGTGCAGTCCATCCCTCAATATCCTGTACGTTCAAAAGACTGCGGCTCAATAATAGTCTCACCACTTCCTCGTGACCGCTTCCTGCTGCGTACGACAATGCCGTTTTCCCTCTAAAGTCTTTATGGTCCACTTCCAAATCATCGACACTCAGCATCAGCTCCACTACCGAGGTATCTCCTCTGCTCGCCGCTAAGGCAAGTGGTGCCATACCATTATGATCGACGTGGTTCACTTTCACATCATCGACACTCAGCATTAGCTTCACTACAGAGGTATGTCCTCTGCTCGCTGCTAATGCCAGTGGTGTCATACCGTTACGACCGGCGTGATTCACATCCACACCATCGGCACTCAGCATAAGTTCCACTATAGAGACATGCCCTTTGTAGGCGGCCCAGGATAGTGGTGTCCATCCATGATCATCTTCCATATTGATAATTGCATCCTTTTTCCAAACTGTGACTCCAAGTCTTCGTGCCCCCAGCAATAGTTTGACGGCCCCCTCGTGCCCTCGATCCGCTGCCCATGATAGTGGCGTTCGCTTATAACAGTCCCTCTGCTGAGGATCAACGTTGCGGTGGTCTGCTAGCAATGCCACAACAGGCGTATGCCCTTGCTCAGCTGCCAATGACAGTGGAGTTCTGCCCATGGTATCTGTCGAGTCAACTGTGACGTCGGTGCGATTCACTAGCAATGCCACGATGGCTGCATATCCTCGCTCTGCCGCCAATGATAATGGCGTGCGGCGATTGACATCCTTCGGGTTGGCAACTACATTGCGTTGCGAGAGGAGGAGCGCAACCATATCCCGATACCCGTGTGCTGCCGCGCGCGATAGTAAAGAACGATCATGTTCGTCTTTCAAATTGACATCGGACCCAAGTGTCAACAATATCTTCGTTGCTATAAGAAAATTGTTGCAAACAGCAGCATAGAGTGCTTCATCTCTGAACTCACGTGCGGCCTCCACCTGCTCTGTATTCTTTTCGATAATGGTAGTGTTCAAATATGAGGTGATCCTCTTCTCCAGCAAGTAAGCGGCCGCCATATTACAAGTCAGCAGTCCGAGACACTGGGAACGAATATTCAGAACATCTGTATCGTCCAGACAGTTGTTCAGGTGATGACTGAGATGTTGTAGAGCATAAACCGCAACAGGTCGTTCATCCAGGTACTTGGTGTAGCGTTGGAAATCTTCAGATGTCCAATAATCAAGATTTGAGGATGTACATGTTGGCATATCCTCTGTGGCACAGATGGCACAGAACATGAGATATCGAAGGCAGATAATTGATATGTGCTTGTGCGCATCATTCCTATCGGCCCAAGAATTCGACCCAGCTGTGTTTTTGCTATGTTTGAGCAGAAACTCGCGAGCAGTCTGGTGAATGACTTGTACAGTTTTGCCTCCTATGAATAAATTAGGACAAACTCAACATCTGGCAAGAGATAGATAGTCCTACCATCAATGTCTCGAATCTCCAGAAAGTTACCACCACACTGAATTATATATAGGTGATCTGGAATACGCTTTCTGAAGACGGCATCCGAAACCAGGAACTCAGCGTCAGAGCGATCCGGGACAGCGAGGATATGGCATGCTTCGTCGACAGTGATCGGCCGCTTCGCAAAGAGGACGAACCGCAACAACTTGACGCGGTGCAAAGCATCTCCCTTGGCCCTCGCCAGCATGAGCCCATAGAATGATTCGAGCTCGGTCGGAAGTCCATGAAGAAACATAAATATTTGTTCTTCGGACTGAAAAACCCTCATTTGGAGTTCCTCTCCCACCAGCCGTACCCAGAGGAACACTCCCTGCGCCTTTTCAACGACATAATCTATCGCTCGTGTCAATGGACGCCTCAGATTACGCCCTTCCAGGAAGGAATTTGCAAAGATGGAGATATCGAATTTGGTTTCGTCCTGTAACTTAATGGAATTGTGGAAACCGCCAAGCTCGAGTCCTTCCACTGGTCGGCTGGCGACAAAGATCTTGAGTACGCAGCGTCTGGCTCTAGAAGAGAGCTTGATGAGCAGGTCGAGGACCTTGTACCTGTCACTATCATCTGACTCGTCGATAGCATCAATAATGAGATATAGTTGTTTTCGTGTCTGATAATCCTCTAATGACTTTAGGGCTTCCTGCAGTGATGAATAGTCCCAGACGATGCGACCTTGACAGTGATTTTGGGCACGATAGAGCTCTTGGAAGCGGTGATAAAAGAAAGCCTCTTCCTGCATGAGGATGTGGTACAGTATAGAGCGGAACATGCTGTAGTGACTTCGTTGGAGTTCGCCTTCTCGGTAACTGTAGAAGAACTTGGCCACGACAGGCGTCACTGAAGGATCATCTCCAGCTGCCTCATGCTTTAAGACCTGCTCACTGAAATATTTGGTGAGCGTGCTTTTCCCGCTTCCCGGTTTTCCTTGCACATAAAGTAGTCGGGAGTTGTCTGCGGTTGACCAGTTTGTGTACTGCTCATGTGTCCAAAGCCATTCGAAGGAACCCTTGTGTTCACCAGATATCTTGCCATAGCGTGTATTATTGAAGTGGAGGCTAGAAAGACACTCTTGAATCACCTGATCAGCTTAAAGCTCGTCTCAATTTTTGGTGTCAATATACAACAGGCCAACCTTTTCGTTCTTTGTCATATTCGATGAATGGAAACCCTATGAGCAGGTCCTTGATTTTGGATAGCGGTTGACTGGTCAGCAGTACTTTCGCTTTCGGCATTGACTCTTGGACAAGCTCGATAAATTTGCGAAGTTGCTCAATAAACTCCTCCATTAGATTCGTCACTTTGTCCAGTCCATCTACGATAATCGTCAGTTCCCGCTCAGTTTCGGTAAATAGAACCGTCTCCAAAGCACTCCACAGGTCATTAGCAGGATCAGTAATTAAATCCTTAAGAAACGTATCTATTGTCCTACTAGTGTTCTCCTGACTTTCACCTAGGCCCCCTTTCTGTTTTATTTTCTTAGCCAATATGAAGTGTAGAAATTTTCTGATACGTTCTGTTCGCTTTTCCATGGGCAGACAGCGAAGAATTTGGTCGAGGAGTGTGTGAACAAATACAGTTGCGATCGATTCCTCTCTCGCTGCAAACGAGCAGAAGAAGCACAACATCATGCGGTCTGCAGTGCCAGCGTTCTCTTTTGCACGGTGGACGAGATTTGATGAGACTTCTCGCAGGCGGCATTCCGGAGGCCCCGAAATCCATAAGACTTGTTGTGACCTGGACCTCTGCCACTCCTTGAAGTCGAGATTGTCGAAGACCCATACAAACTGCCCACTGTTCAAGTCTCCATAGGATCTACTATCAATCGTAATTTCTTGTTTACTATCTGATAGTATCTTATCAAACTGCGGTGGCTCGATGCTGGCAATGGCGGATTGAAGCTCTACCTGCAACGAAAGAGGTCAGAATGGAATTAGCATCAAAATACTGGCCAAGATGAGCTTCATTACAAACATAGTCTCATGACTGCCAGATGTCGTGGTTACACTGCGAGTCTGTGTTTCGATTTCCCGCACGAAGCCTTTCAAAACAGCTAGCACTTTCTGATAATTGGCATCTTCTGGACCACTATATTTGCACATATTTCGGTGGTCCGCATGTAGTGTCTGGGAGATTTCCGCCGCATCGCCGATCCGGCTCGAGAAATCCTCGACAACCTGATGGCGTCAGCTCGGACCCTAAGTTCAGATGGAGACGCTCAAATAAATACCTTTCCTGAGAAGCCTGGAATGCCAGTCATACCCAGAGACTCGACGAACGAACAGACTTTGACCTTGTCTGCTTTAAGCATGACGGAAAAATTGTCCATCAGCCGCTGTAGTTCCGCACTGTCCACTTCCAGCGACCTTAGCGATCTGGTATTTGCTTTGCCCAGCGCGAAGACGGCCAGATTCTTGGCCAAAGATGCCCAATCCGAACCTCGATGCGGAGTACCCAGAAAGACAATGCCATGCGTACATTGGTAAACGCTTCGAAGATCCGGCTTATATTGCGAATCTTGCGATTGCTTCAAGACCTGCAGAGACTTAGCAGACGTCTCGGATACAGGTCGAGGTGATCATTACGTCCTTGACCAGAATGCCTCCTAAGCTATGAGCAACGAATATTATTGGGCTAGTAGACTGGATATGGAGAGTTTGTCAATGCAAGATAGCTGATCATGGGGCAGCGCACGCACTGTTTCACGCCGTTGATCGGTGAGTGCAACCAGCAAATCGGTTGCATGTTGGTAGAGATTTGTCCGGTTCACCGAACCCAGGAAATTGAAGACATCGGAGTCATATCCGTACGTGAAGATCCGACAGTTCTGTACATCCTGGGCCAGCAGCTCTCTCGGCCAAAATATTTTTGGCCGAACAGGGGTTGTATTCTCTCGACGCTCTCGTCCAAAAAAGCGTCTTCTGCGGCTGCGGCGACTGTGGGTTGTCGTGTTCGAGAGGTATGTCCAGGTGTCCTCTGGATGTCCACCTAGGCCATGTACAAGAACAATGCTTGACAGATTGCATAGTTAGCATGGCAATACAATAGATCAAATCTGAAAGCAAAGACAAACTCTGCCACAGGTGTTGGCCCCCCGCCGCGGATCTCGGTGAATCCTAAAGGTTTGACAAGTTTTTTGGACGACATGAGGATTCTCCTTCAGGAATCATCAAAAGAGCTTCACAACCAAGATGATCAACCTCAGGATAGTCCTCGCCTGGGCGTACGTATACAGTTAAGGAGTGTCCATGGAGACGGGAGGACAGGAGAGCCTCGCCATTTCAAGTCCAATTGTGATGAGGTCGGAGGCCCTGGTCAGCCTGGGCCAATAGTTTTGAGATGTTTAACGCGGCCATGGCTGTGCGCGTACAGTCACTACTGTTTGGTTGGCTACAAAAGTCCGTCACTTCCATAATTTGCTTTACTGTCTAGTCAATGCAACAGATGACGCTATCAATCTATGCCTGCAAAAGGTGTGCATGTCGTGGATTACATGTATCAGTTTTGAGCGTTAGTGAGATCCGCTACTATTGCATGAGCGCAGGAGGAAAGCCTCTCCTGCTATTTTTGCTAGACGGTCTTCGACCGAGGTTTCTGTACTATCTAGTCCTAGATGCCCAACGCGCAGGTGTATGAATGTTCCCTGGGCTGTTGGGCAGAGATAACAAGAGGTCCGACGACCCCGCAGAAAAGGTAGAACCAACGTCGCCACTTGGAAGCGTCTCATGGCATCTTACCTGAAAGCCAGACAGATCTGGGATGTTATGCCATCCAAACTCCGGTGCCCTGACTGCAGAAGTGCTGGCTTCTACTGCTTGATATCCTCCACTAAAGAGGTCAGCAATTATGCATATTGTATCTACTTTGAAATCAGGCCTCTAACACAGTGATGGCCCTGCATGACCTCTCATGAAGAGAAATAGAGCGTAATTTGAAGGTGGTTGCTCAGAGCGCAGATATAGATTCTGCTTTTATCTACAACATAAGGTTGCTGATCGTGGCGTTAGGCACTATCATTATAAAACTATCAGAATGTCGGATCTGCAGGACCACGTGTTTACTGCCAGAGATCTCAGTATTACTCGCATGTACAGCTAGAATAATAGACTAGCAAATATGCAGTCAAGAAGTCGTCTCTCTGCTTGAAGAAATGTAAAGTGAGTGTCATCCAACGTCCTGTGATTGTTTGAATTTCGTGCTTCCGAAGCAATTCAAGTATTCAGAAAAAATATGCTCTAAAGACAGCAGCTTGCTTATATACTGTTCGGGACATCCACTGTCAAATCCGTCAAAGTCATAAACAATGATGGACAAGGAGGCGTGAAGGTTATAAGGGCGCGTTTCAGGCTAGATATGGGACAAAGTATGCAGTTCAATGTCTCGTACAAGGATTCTCATCCTTTATTTCTGGGTCGCCATGAGAAGCATTCTCTTTCTCTAACGAGGAACCAATGATCTCTCCAATTTCTCCTGAGGCCGTTCCTGCTAGAACCCCGATTCCAATTATTCCGCCGTCACTGACCTCGCGAAGGAAAACGCTTTTACCTCCTTCCTGCGGTCCAGCACATAAGATAAGCCGATCGATATATCTCTGAACGGTTTCCTTGTAATGAGGGTAGTGTTGGATGACTCCCCCTGAGACAGCTACAGCCAGTTCTTCCGGTCCGTTTTTCCAGCCTGATTTGGACGAAACCCTACTGTGCAAGTCACTTTGTTCACTAATCTTCAGTGCAACATGCGAATTCTGATCGATCTTGGCGCTTAGAGAGTCAGGACTCCGCAGCTGTATCTCCCGAGTGCAGGCAAGAAGGCCAACAACTGCAGAAGCCACTAGAGAAGCAGCTCGGTCCTGCACTGCCGATGCAATGGCACGAACGTCACCAGCTAATTCAGGCGTCCAACCCCAGCTGCTCGTCATGGGAGGTGGCAAGTGCTTTGACAAATCGCCTGCTAAGCGTACATTGGAGTAATTGGAAGCCACAAAGAGAGAGAGAAAATCTGTGGTGAGAGAATATTCTTCGACTAGCTTCTGGGGAAGCGCAGATCGCGCGATTCCTAGAGATCGATGGAACCAGTCGTAACAGATGATTCGGACCAATTCCCCGATATATCTCCCACCGACCATGTACTCGAATGGTTGAAATCCTGGTCGTTGAGTATGCATATCCAATTCAGTATCCCATGGAGTTGTGATGCCAAGCTCATGCAAAGGAGCGGTCGCACTAGAAACTGTCCATTCAGTAGAAACTAGCGTTTCTATCGCATCAGGCTCGTTGGCACGTATATGACGAGTCTTTGACTCATGGAGATCAGTAATTCTAAAAGGAACAGTAGCATTACAACCAGCGCCTACAATCAGCCCCATGACCACGCGCGTGTTGGGCAGAGAAGGGATAAAATATGCCAGAGATGCAAGGGTCGCGACGGTGTCATTGGTCATGGCGGCGATTTTTAATGAAGGCAGACAGTAGAGCTTCCGTTTCTTAGCTGGCATCGGCCCATCATCCTCATCAAGGCGACGGGTATGACGCTCATATCCGCTCAGCAACGCCTGGCGAAGGTTCAGGTCTGAATTCAAGGCAAACCCTTTCCCTGTCGGCATTAGGGTGGCTTCATCTAGAGATTTTTGCCTATCCTCTAATTAGATATACGACACATTGGAAGAGACGGAGGGATTATCATATACTTAACAGGAAAACAGAGTGAAATGCCTGTAGTCAATTCGCTGGGCATGTTCTCATTTGGATTGGCAAGACTATCAGCCACTACTTCGGCAATACAGTCACCAATCCAGGTGAACAGGTCCTGGGCGTGATCTCGTCGCAAGTGCTCTTCAATAGGCCATGCCTTCTCCAATGTTCGCCTCACACGCGAGTGACCCTCGACCTGTTGATCTCCCAACAGGTCAATGAAGGCGATCCTTAGATACGATAGACCAACATAGACCGCTAGATAGCGGCCCGTTTCGTGCCCGGTGGGAAGACATGTGATTGCCGTGGGGAAAAACTCCTCTAATGAGGTTGAAGCTAAGTTTTGATATGACAAAGAGAGGCGAGAAGATAGCTTATATAGCATATCAAGCTCCGTATGAAGCGGCCGAAGGAATTCCTTAAGATCCGAGCATGTTCTTGGGTTTGCTGTGATAGTAGAGTTTGGTCTTGACATGCTGTTTGTTACTCAACGATGTATAAGTCGGCAAGCGACGGAAACGTCTCGATTACAATCAGACCACTGCTCTCTCCAGTAGGTAGCGCGATGGAAACTAGGACGTAGAGGTGTCAAGAGAAGCCTTAGCGCGCCTGATTTAGCGCCTGGTGGAGGGACGGTATGATATGACCGATCATTCTTACTAATCAATAGTATAGAAATACTACCCTACTATTGCTCTTTAAGACTAATCTTACGTGCTTTGGAATACTTATTAACCTCAGTTAAAGTTCCTGTCTCTTTGGCGTTTTGTCGAGCAGGCATGGACGTGATTTTGTAATGGGAAATATATAACCCTCATGCGATAGCTTTCAATTGCTAATTAATAAAGCAGGAAAGCAAGACCATCAATGCCACCAGGAATGAGGTGAATGGGTTTGAAGCAATGAGTGTCCTGCTGGATGATTACGGAGATAAGCTCGAGATTACTGAAGAGGTGGTCAAGGCCGCAGCAGAAAATAGCAGAGGGAGGGCCAAGTGCTGGCATTGCTGCTTGAGCAACGTGGAGATGAGGTTATGATTACTGAAGAGCTGGCCAAGGCTGCAGCAGGAACTGAGGGGAGTGGAGAGAGTGTGTTGGATCTCCACCTTGAGAAACGGGGAGACGAGGTTATGATTACTGAAGCAGCCCCACAACCTAGCTGACTCATTGAACGAGGTCAGTTGCTTTGTCTTTACGGTGACATTTGAGCCATAGAACGAAACAAGACTAAAATACGCGTCAGTCCTTCTCTTCATTGCTATGTTTCCCTATCATCTCATGATATGCTCCAGATCTATCAGGAAGGGAGTGGCTTATCATGTCTCTATAAATTCATTACGCTCGAGGTGAGATAAGTGCAGAAAAGTGTATTGAGTGTCTGAGTTGGCTCTGAGGGCATGTTGATTGGAGGGCCTGAGCCGACTTGTTCAGGGCTAATGGATGGATGACTTCTTTCTTGCAATTGCAATCTCACCGTCAACGATCACGTAGACTTCTCCTCGACTGGGGGCCAATGTGATAAGGTTGCGTGATACTCCCAATCTGAGAGCTGCTGGTTATCGAGGTGAAAGCCCCATGCAGCAGCAACCCGATCATCAGGCTTGTATGAACCACAATGTTCTACCTCCCACTCAAGTCTGATCGAGCCCGTTCTGTTCAAGAACTTGAAATAGAAAAAGGAATAGTGGTTAAGATCAAAGTTAATGGTCCTCAAGCGAGGCATACGTCTTGCAGCATAACCCAAAGAGATAAACAGCCGATGAAACTGCTCTTGCTCAAAAATGGATCGCTCCACAATTCTTCTTTCATAGCTGCAGATTTCGGCCTCCCAGTCCTCAATCTCAGCGATCATGGCTTCCTCGTCTGGATCAGGGCGGACGATCCATTCCCCTGTGTACATTGAGAAAGTTAGTGATTGAGGTTCATTTGGCATATTGCATTTACAATATCCCATGTAACGCTTGAATACTTGAGGAAAATTTCTTACCTGAGGGAAGCCAGGGCTGGAATTGTTTTAAAGTCAAAATCTCCAAGTTAGGCCAGTGTAAAGAGGCATTACCCAATAGAGAATGATCTTTCTCATCCAGAGGCCATAGAAAATCCAGAGAGATAGGAACTTGGACTAGTTTCAGCTCACAAAGGGAAAGACTCAGATCTCGGATTCTAATGGATAGAATATCAATGGTTGAGGATAGAACATTTAAGGCGGGCATGGTATCCTTCCAATTCCTCTCATCTTGATTCTCAAAGCGAAAAACCCTCAATGAGGGGGGGATATCTTTCAGACCTTCAGACACAGCTACCACGAAAATCAGTGAGGCTAAAAAGTATGCTGTGGTGCTGATAAACAGGAAAGTCTCATACCTTGACGGCGTTCCTTCAGGTAATCCAGATGATCTGGTCTGATATACTCATCCAAGTTCAACCATAGTTCTGCGAGTGTCGGACAATGCTGAACAATCTGCATAGCTGCTCCAGCCCATATCTGGTGATACCGTGGTGAGTCTGTACCGTCGAGAAACGATAGTTTGTCAATACATGAAACGTTGGGTAGCACCAAAGCGCCATCCTGATGGAAGCGCGCGCGATAGACAGGAACAGCTTGTGTGCGCCCATCCGTGAAGTCCCAAGTATGCAATCCAGCTTCATCGTCCTCTTTTGTATGCGGCTCCTGGCCTGGTTCACGCCCTAGGAGTACCAGAGAGACAGAGAGGCGATGACTCTTCTCCCATACTTCTAGCGTTTTGAATAGATTGATTATTGCTGATTGAAACGCAGTGTTATTCGCCTGTCGAACAGCATTATTAGAGCTATAACCTTCCCTTTTACGCATCATCCAGTCTGGGAGGTCAAAAGGGACAACAGTATGGTACCACAGCTGACGAATACATGCTCGTCGCGCGATTCCAGGCCCAGAAGTGAGTGCGCGGAACTGTTTGAGGCAAATCCCGCGGTGCTCCCCTTCCTCGTTGATGCCATCCTCACTGTAAACATGCAATTCGGAGTAGATGATCGGCTCAAACGCTGCCTGCCAACGACGACAGACAGCTGTACATGCAGCTAGAGAAGCGCCTGCCTGTTTAAGATAGCCTGCGATCTCACCTAGAAGTTCAAGTGGGAGTGAGGCGACCATATCTATTAGAATGAGAAGCGATTCATAGCTAGTTAGCACTTAACGCCCTTGAGTTTGGAGCCTTGGAGCTGGTGTAGTTACTTCCCAGGCGAGTGGAGGCAGCGGACAACAGAACTAGCACACAGGGGGCAACTATTTAGGCTCAGCGCATAAAAACCTGAGGGCAAACTGGTTAGAGGCAATGTACCGGAAGAGCTGGATATTCCCTTCGCCTAGCGCCAAGCATGTATTTCTTAGCGCGGTTCCTATGCACCTAAGCCGATCGGCTATCCTGATGATGCTTCTCTACACAGGCCACGCGATGAAGTCAATTCTCCCACAAATCATGTCTCTTTGCACTCGCTGTTCTTGCCAAGACCAACCCCACACAGCAAGAATTGCTCGTCGGCGAGGACATCATGGCCCAACAAGACAACAGGGTCCGCGGACACAACGATGCCATCTACGACACCGTGCCTAAGGATGACCAGATATTCAAGATCGAGTTCCTAGAGATTGCCCCGACACCCATTATCGCGTAAGATCTCCCCTCTCCTCAAAGTACGGCTTAATCTTGATTATAACATTTTAACGTTAACATCCTGATGAAGCGACCGTGTCTTCTTCGTCTACCTACGCGGTTGTCTACCTGAATCTAAAAAGAAGGAGCTGGCACTTCCCGACGAGGGCCTCATCAATGCGACCCTCAAAGTGAGCGCCTCTACTGTCTACCCGGATGGTAGTCACGACAACGAAGACTCCACTACAGGGCCATTGAAGACTACGCCCTTTAATGATCTAGCCCACCTCACTATTCGTAATGCCTGTGGAGTTCAGGTTGACTACATGCCTAGTAGCGGCCGCAGTGATATTTTACTAGATTTCCAGATTCCTACAATGTTTTTGAGGAGTGGTATGTGGACATTCAAGGTCGACGCGCGAGTTGGAGATGTAGACAATACGTGCCTATTTGCTATGAAGTTGACACAATGGTTAGAGGGGGGGCTCAAGTAGGATATTTGAGATAATCTAGAAGCTCCATGACACAACTTCTTGGTCTTATGAATTAGGGCATGAGCTCCCATATTAAGTAAGGCCCAATGACGCAACAGGCTTTCCAGATGATCAAAGTCGCCGTGACTACTTCGTACGGTATCTTCCACGTGGGAGCCTCGGCCAAGACCAGCCAGACAGAATAGAAAGCGACAGCAAAGAAATGATAAACAAGGACCCATGGCGACCGTATAAGACCCGCAAGCATGCCGCAGGGCTCTTGCTTACACCTTCCACCAATTTGGAAGTATCGAAAACACCCAGTTTTCAATGCACTTAACGTTGTATCCTTGGCTGCAAACAGCGTATACAGTGCCATTGCAAGGATATTAATGAGTGAGGATCCCTGCTTTCGGGCCCAGTGAAAGCGACCTATCTGCTCAAGCACTGCGTTGGAATCATCCAGTGAAAGGACATTCTCTGGAGCAAGCAGCTTGGAGATTAATAGCACGTCATTAAATGCAACAGTCATGCCGCCACCAGTCAGTGGATGCCTCATGTTCAACGCATCGCCGAGGAACAGCAGGCCGGGAACTTTCTGTTGCGAAGGCGGAAGAAATGAATTAGGCATGCTTTTGAATTTTCCCCTAGCCACAGCCTCACGAAAGCTATTTTGACAGCCGGATGGAAGTCGCGGTAGAACTACATTAAGCATGTGGGCTTTGATACCACCTGAAGCAGGACTTGCACTCGGTAAGCCGGTAGGAACGTCCAAGAAGATTCGCGTTTGGCGAGGACTGATCTGATAGACAAGGATTGGAGGGTCATCAGAGAGAAATACATGCCCGTAGTAAGGCTCCGGGAGCTTGGCATTAATCAATTCTAGAGCCCAGAATTTTGACTGGCTTAAGGGTTTGTGGGGAAGGTATTTCTTCCGAAATGTTGAGGCATAACCATCACAGACAATGGTCAGGCTGCCATAGTACTAGATACCTCCATGTTAGAAGATGACAAAGGGCATTTGCCAACAGGCTCACCTCTGCAGCCTTCCTATTATCCCCGGCACTGTATGCTAGCACACCGATGACCTTGCCCGTGCGTTCATCGCGAAGGAGGTCTGTGGCTTTAGCCTCTACTACGGTCACGTTCGGTGCATTTGCTGCCGCTTGACGGAGGTTTTGAATGAAGCGACCATGTTGGAATGAGCATCCTTTAGGGCGCTCACCTGGTGCGTTTGGGTCGTCGGGATATGGAATGTTGACGGTTTCGTTGAAATATGAGACTCGATAGCCATGGCATGGCACGGCGTCAATATTTCTCAGACAGTCTATCAATGTATCAGTTATCCTACCAGGCTAGACAACCCTCAGGGGCAAACAATAGAGATTTTCATAGAAAGGCAAACAAAGTTGTGGCTCACCTCCCATGCCCAGTGAATGCAGGGCGTGAACACCACCCGGGTGCAGCAGTTCGCCCACGACGCGTTCGGGCTGCGCCAGACACTTTTCTAACAGCACCACCGTCCGTCCCTGCTTGCTAAATGCCACAGCACTCGCACATCCGGCTACTCCGCCGCCGACAATGACAATGTCTGATATGTGGCGGGGCAGCTGATGTCCCTTGGACGAGTTGGCGGCCATAGTTGGGCTTTCTGTCTATGCGGTGACCGTTTGACCTTGTTCCGTAAGGCCAAGAAACCTATCAGTCAGGACGGGGCTCCTGATCTTGATGGGCGAGGCGGATGAAAAGGAGTCGGTGAGTATCAGGAACGAAAATCAGGAGAGAAGAAAAAGATCCCGGTGCGGAGAGTGTGGCCTGATTGACAGGGATCGTAGGTTAGCCAATAGATTCTCGCCGGAATCTTCCTAAACAATATCAAATAGTCAAGTGCGAAGCACCTATGCATTATATTGCTTCAGGAGGTATCCTCACTGGTTCCGGAGGTGCAGACCTCCCGGCCTCCGTGACGCTTTCCAACCTGAGACAGGTTCACGCACTCGGGGTTGTTCCATCTACCCACGATGGTCCAAAGGACCACCTACCAGAGAGGAGCAGGATCCTACAACCTGCTGGATTCCACACGCAGTTGTACGTTGCAACGCCGGAAGAGTCCCAGCAGTTTAGTGATCAATCTCGCCCCCGACCCTTTGCAAAACTATTGCCTCATGCTTTTTGTTGTTGAATTAGTGGATAGATTAATTAGCAGACCACTGCTAAGGGGGTAAATGGCCCTTTTGAAAGAGGCGGAAATAAGAGATGAGAGGGGAAAAAGGAAGATATTTCATGACTGTAGCTGGACTTCTACTTATGAGGTTATAATGGTCATCAAAGGATGCTATAAGAACTATATTACTGGTCTATGATAGACCAGGTCTGTTTTGTTACTGAGCAAGACAATCGCAATTAAGTAAGGAGAGTTGCTTGGTGAGAGATATTGAGGTGTCGGCGAACCAAGATCCCTGTATAAGCTCCATAAATAATTCAATATAGGTACACCGCTTCGTTGGATTCCCGATGCCCCGACTACTGTAGAGACACCCACCAAGTCAATCTACGGGAAACACGGGCTAGGGTCCACTATCGATTATGCGTCAATCAAAATGTATGCTCGGGTCCACCGAAGATAGTGAACGGCAATCAGACACGATCCACAGCCATCCTAAACACAGACCTTCGGGGAAAAATATATATATATATATAAGGCCGGGTCACGGAAGATCGATAAAGTAGTAATAGTTTGAAAAGGGTTATCTTTGACGGCGAGTCCAGTCCTATCCGGTTTCTTCGACTCTAAGAACTGTTAGCTTGAGAATATTTGTCCTAGTTCTTGGCAAAGCCTCAGAGGACATGCAACGATTTTTGCAGTGCATGAGCCATGGTTGGTAATAGCACCAGTAGACTGGTCCAGGTACCCAGATATTTATTGGTGTGAGACATGGAGCAATTAGACGCTGATGAGGTTCTGGACTAAGCCTTCACTTAGCCGCCATAGCTTCTCTTGGCTTAGCAGTAGTCTTGTTTTCCGGTCCAATCTTCTTCCTTCATTCTCTCGGTGGAGGACTACCCCAGTCTCTTTAGGGCCTTGGCGATCCAGGCTTGACCCTAGGTATTCTCCGAAACTGTTGCCACCGGCGCCGAACGTAACACTATCAGATATTGCGGCAATTTCCTAATTCAGCGCTAATTTCCACTCAATTTTGCTTGTAAATGTTCATGATATAGGCCAATTGCATAGTAACCTATATTATCTTTAGTCAAATCATCACTGTGCAGTTGTATCCCTGAAATTCCCGACCTTAGTTTAGCATGGAGACAGGAGATAAGGAAATTAATTTACCTCCAGCGCAGTAAATTTTATGCCCATCTCATGATCGATCTAGGCCTAGGACGATTAAACAGGAAGAGAGTGTCTCAAAGAATAGCTTTCATGTGATTAATAGCCTCCTGTGAGGGTTCTGCTCTTGCCATCAAAGCAGATCTTTCCCACACATGCATGCATCCTCTCTGATCACCCTTTAGTTCGTGTGGTATGTAGGTAGGTTGAGCTTCGGTATCTCGATATTTTCGTTGACACGAAAGTCAACAAAAGATACTGGGCAGTTTATGTGGTGTGCATCGGGTAAGCGGCCAGAGCAGGGAGGAAGCAGAGAGCGTTTACGACCACCAAAACTGGTAAGTGTACTAGGTACTACTACGTACTAGTAATCTATAAATTTATATAGAAGGTGGATATACTTAAATATTAAATTAGATCTGAATCTTGAAAACGATGGCAGCCTGGTGAAATTTTGAAAAGCTATTACCCTTGTCTTTTGAGGTTTTGCCAATGCCCCCCTCCCCAACCACCCGATGTAGCCGAATGTCTCATAACTTAGTGGGGCAAGTAGTGCCTTTAGTTGGCTTTTCCCGACTAGAAAAGGAGAGAGCGATTTCAGTTTTACTGCTGAAATCCACGAATGAGGTTGAATCTGGCGGATCGCTCTGGTGACACTAATTATTAGCGTAGGTACTTAGTTTAATCAACAGCAACGAAGTATCAGTGGTCCGAGTTACAGCAACTATCACTTAGACTCCCTAACACCTTTCTCACATTTCAGTTTTTGTTATCCATCAGTTCCTACATACTAGTTGCTCAGTGTTCTTTGCATACGCATTTTATGAAAGAGCAGTAAGCTTACAACCTTGGCAATGAAACCTGTATGTGATCAATGCGGGTATTCCTAGGTTATTACTAATATCATTAGAAACATCAAACAGCTTCCAGCCTAGACAGCTTCCCAGCAGAAATATTGTACTTGGTGGTCCAGTTACTATCCTCTGCTGAACTCCATGCACTATGTCTTGTCAATAAAAGGTTCCGCATAATCGCTGAGCCATTCCTCTACACCCAGATTCAATGGACGTGGACAGACTCTCAGAACCCCCGAATCGCTGAGTTTTTGCGAACTATTGTGCACAGGCCCAAGCTCGCCAGTTTTGTCCAAGTTATGATCCTCAATGGAGACTGTTTCGATCCCATCGGGTGGGATTATCGCAAGAAATGTCCCAAACTCCCAGTCACTGAGGTTGTCTTAGATGAGCTAGTGAAATGCATTGAGGGGATCCAGATTCCATATGCTGAACAGTGGATCCAAGAGTTGCGCGCCGGAACAATGGATGCATTTGTCACACTTTTATTATCACAGCTCCCCAGTCTGAGACGTCTCTATCTAGGCAAGAATTTTGCCCGAGAGAGCCGCCTCATGGGCATGATGCTCCGTTCGGCCCTCTGTGAGGAGTCCCAAAACAGCCATCTCACTTCCTTTACACATCTCCAAGATGTGTCAGTTGTGTATCCCGGCCTTGGTCTCCACATTCGCAGGTTCACGGACGTCAGGAATACAGCAGATGTCCTCCCCCTCTTCTACTTGCCGTCGATTGAACAGATAAGGACCTTAGTTGATAACCCTGCTACTTTCATGTGGCCTGGGAAATGCCCACCAATTCCATCAAAACTCACATCACTTGACTTAAGGATGTTGCGCGAAGGGCCTCTCGGTCAAGTGTTATCAGTCACCCGAGGGCTTCGGAAGCTTAAATGGGATTGGTACTACCGCGAAGATATCAAAGATCACTTTGTCACGGATATTATCAATCTGGACCAAATCGCCGCGGATCTATCTCACGTTCAAGAGACTTTAACAGACTTGACTATTACAGCAGCAACAGACCTCGCAGAATCAGCCCCTGAACACCCAGAGGTCATATTCCACGGGTCTTTTAAAACTTTTAGTGGACTCCATATGCTAAAAAATTTGGAAGTTCCAATTGCATTTCTGCTTGGATTTTCTCCATCGACGCCAAATGTAGTTGGCCTAGAGGAAGCACTTCCAAAAAACATTGAATGGCTGACCCTCAATGAACATCTATGTCTCCAGCGAGAATGGGAATGGGAGTTCGAGACTGAATACCTATTGAGGGCTGTTCGATCATGGCTACAAAACTGGAAGAGATTCACGCCTCGCCTCCGAGGGTTGATATACAAAGTGTGGGATTGGGACCCTGAGTTGATAGAGGGGCTCAGAGACATAGGTGCCCAGGCAGGAATTCAGGTTCAAATAATAAAAGATGAACGCTCCGATTAAATGTACTTATAGCCTCAGTTTCTGCCACCAATATCTCTTCGGACCACTATTTAATATTAACAAACACTCTGGGGTCACCCCCGCATAACTGAATCTGGTCGATCCTGACCGGGCCTCCGGCAAGGTTTGCCAGGGTGTACGGCTCTACCGGCGTGTTTGTATCCAAGACCCTGAGCCCCTGGTCTCTTGTGAAAAGATTGCAGCCCCAAGTATCCTGCACATTTGTTGGTTAGTCTTTGGGTAAAAATACTCATGAGGACATTGGTTAGTTACCTCAGCGCCAGTTCCACAAGGATCTATCTGTGCCCATTTCCCTTGGGCTTTGACCCATGTGCCAATTCTCGCTTTTCGATCTTTCAGGGGGACATCATTGTTTTTATAGTATAGATGGGCCGCCATAGGCTCTGCGCAACTACCCTTGTTCTTGTGTATATCCGACTCTTTGCCAGGTGGGCTGATATCTCGCCAGACCATCTGGCATTTCTGTAGACTTTCGCCGACTGGCGTCTGGCCGTTAAGAAAGTCATAGGAGAAGTGACCCGCTCCCTTCATAGAGGAGGCAAGGATGATTTCATTGCCCCAGGCCAGAATTCCCATCGCTGTGGGCTCTGCCTGCTCTCTGATGATGCCATACTGCTTTCGGTCTGCTGTCATTTCGTCGGCCGCATCTCGCGCGATTTGCCAGAGCTGCCCGTCTGAGATTGGAGGATTCTTCTCATCAGAATTCCCGACGGGACTTGCAAACACGATGTGGCTGCTATATTGCCAATTGCGCTTGACATTTTTAAGGCTGGCGTCCTGTTCCCGTGGCCAATTTATTGCAAGGCCATAGTCGAGGGTGACTTTGAGCGGGCCAAGCGGGTCCTTGGGTGCCGAAACATCGGCTGCACCACTGAGTATAGGGTTGAACGCGATCCAGGCCCCAAGCACTAAAAGACCGGCATCTCGGACAGATGGGAAGAGCATTGTTGAAGGTCACCGCTCAAGCTGACTGTGACCGACGCAGAGCTGGAAAT